AGCCTCCCCCTCCCCCCTCCCCCCACCCCGCTATACGGAGCCTCCCCGGTGCTGGGAGGGGGAGGGGGAGGGGGGGGCCCTGGTGCCTTCCTTGCAGACGGTTGAGGCCCCCACTGCAGGCAGCCCTCCCGCCACAAGCGCCCCTTTCACTGGCCGAACTTACAAGGGCCCCGATAAAACGGACGGGGATCCCCCTTTTCACACAGGATCCCCAGGGCTTTTCTATTCAGGTGCTCCACAGCTGACTCACTTTTTATGACCGCTTGCGGTCCCCCCCCCCCCGGGGTCACGTGGCCTCCTTTTGGGACCCTCCGACAAGCAAAGTCACTGGGGGAACCGGATTCGCTTAACAACCCTGTTACGAACTTAAGTACTGTGGGGGACTCACTTAACAAAATGTGGGGAGAAAGGTGGTAAAATGGGGCAAAAGTCACTTAACTAACTACTCACTTAGCAACATAAATATTGGGCTCAGTTGTGGTCGTAGGTTGAGGACTACCTGTAGATAACATCATGGGTGCTGGAAGGGAGGGGAGTTTGTGGAGGGGAGGGGAAAGGAGCCTGAGCTTGGTGCTGGTTTCCTTGGATTTATCCAGATGGGGGACCATCGCCAGTGCCAGAAGGGAGCAGGGTTTGATCTAAGCCAGCACTAAGGATGGTCATGAAACATCTGCAAGGAAACAAGCTCAGAGAGACGAAGAATCCAGCAGCCCCTCTGAGTTAATTCTCCACTTCTCAGTCTGGTCTGCTCCCCCCCCCCCCACACCTCCATGTTTGACCCTGCCGAGTGATATGCTCAGTAAATTCAGTTTGGAGTTCTACGTAACAGTCTTTTTGTCATTTTCTAAAAGATGTATCTTACAAAGAATTTGCAACTCTTTACAGATGTCCTTAATGGGTCGGTAACCTTTTTGCCTTTGGAACAGACCTGCGAAGGCCAATACAAGGTGAAGGTCGACAATATTTATCAAATTCGGCTTCGGCACATACAGAACGATGAATGGTGGGTGCTCAGAAGATGTTGCTGTCTTTGAATCGTTTTATCACACTACAGATGCATTCAAATGAGTGATGATTCTTTGTTTCTGTTTGTGTTGTTCAGTCTTGTCAGATTTTTTTATGTATGGCATCTTTCTGCATTAAGATGTAAATTTAGTAGCACGTTGCATCCGGCTTGGGTGTTGCTGGCCTCAGTTTGATATGATTTGGATTTTGGCAGTACTGTCCGTGTGAGTTGGACTCTGCAGAAGTAATCTGCAACTAATGCAGTTTGTAGAGCAGAGTTATCGCATGTGCTATTCTAGGAGCACACGGAACTGCCTGCACCTCTGCATTCTGTACCTGCTGAATCTATATATATTTTGCAGTAGTTCAGTCTGGAGGTGACTGTGGGTAGACTGCTGCGCCAGGAACGCGCTCAACTGGCACACAGGCAGCTATGCCAAGACCCTCTTAGCCATGACTACCACTTGCCCATTCAGCAGGAGTCGTGAGTCTCTAGGACAGGGCTGTCAAACTTGTGGCCCATGGGGCCGGATGCGTCACACCCTGGCCATGCCCACACTCGGTTTAGCAAAGGAGGAAAAAGTCCCCATATGTCACGTGATGCTGCCGTGACGACACAGGTTTGACACCCCTGCTCTAGGAGGATCCCAAGATTGCGCACCAGATCTTTCTGGGAGAGTGTAACCCCATCTAGCACGAAGGATGGGCCCCCAAGTCCTGAGATGCTCAGATTCAGCTGAAGCCTGTTTTTCCCCTCCCAGATCCTCATGGCTTCCAGACACCAAGATAAGATGTTCATGGCTTAATTGCTTAATTTGCCAGGGTGGAGTTATGTAATTGGGTATTGTCAGCATACTGATGATCTCTTACCCCATGGTGGTGAACGAGCTTCCTGATTTTTCTAGAGCAAAAAATCTTCACTTGCAATTGTTACTACTGCTTTCTAAGAAGGTGCAGGTGAGGGAGGCCATGAGCTGCATGCCTCTGCCTCAGATTCTTCTATTTGAGAAAGAAAATATTGTCCCATTTTGCTACATGCTAGTATAAACTAAAACTGGAACGTTGCTTGATTGGCCAGAGGCACAATGAAATTAAAGCACTCTACCACTGATTGATTCTGATCTTTAATTTCGTTTGTCTGTTTGTAGGACTGTGTCAGTGCTCCTGAACCCAGAAAAATATGTTCCTGATGGAATTGTATATCCTAAAGCAGAGTGGCTTGGAAGTGAATTGATTTCTAAACTGGTTAAATGGTCTACAGAGATCACAAAAAATGAATTTAAGAGGACGCTCTCTCTCATTTCTGTAGCTAGATACAGCCAGGTTTATCAAGATTTAAAGGAGAAGTACAAAGAGATGGTCAAAGTAAGTAGAGCTTACTTTTTGCTTTGACATTTTTGAACTTAATGTTCATGCAGAAAAGTGTTTATTTGTCCCTATCTTAAATGAAAAGGTTTTGTTCTTAATTGAACAAAGAAATGAAATGAAGGAGGATGCTTGGGCCTTGGGGACAGAAGAGGTTTCTCAGGCTGAGTCCAGTCTTCATCCGATGTCAAGGGGAAAATGTGTGGAGAATTCAGCCTCCTAAAACTCCCGAGGGAGGGAAGGGAGGAAGCTGAAATCCGGTTCTATCTGAGGAAAGCGTGGATTATGGTTGAAAAGCTTGAGGTTGTCTTATATGTGTGAGAATTCATCACTGCCAGGTAGAGAAGGTGCTTGGCTGTGTTGGCCATTAATCTGCTTGCAATGCAGTACGGCCTAAAGCTGTTTCATGATTCTCAGAGCCACGCCTGAGTTTGGGAAATCTCAGGGAATCTGGTTGCAACTTTTTGGATTAGCAGATGTTATTAAGCATTCATGAGCCGCATCTTACCTCGTCAGGTCTACGCAGTGTCTAGATTGATGGAGTAGTGTAATTACAGGTTGGTTATGCCAGATGCGAATTAAACACGAGTCAGTTTCCAATAAGTTTATCAACTAACAATTGTAATATGTTAAAAACCTGTTGGGTTTGTTGAGATCTACAGAGATTGCCTGAAATCTTTAAATTGTGTAAGTTCAGCAGTCTCACTCAGTTGAGTTGGGGAAGTTTGATTCTTTTCCCCCAAGGTAACTGAGCTCTGTTAAAGGAGGCTCCTAGACGGCTGAAATGCTTTGCTACTACTTTACTTTGTCAGCGTTTGAGTCCTGATGCCAAACTTGTGTCCTGCTGTACAACGTTTGCCCCATTTGTACTACAATGTGTGAAATCTGGAGGGCATTGCTGGTAGATGCGTCACATTAGAAGAAAAGTAGGCGAAGAAACGTAGATGGAGCTGTTGGTGTAAATGTGGGAGGAAAGCAGGAAGCCTTTCGGTTTGTCACAGGATCTGGTCCCAATTTAACATTCTTCCGCTTTTGTAAGAATTGGCTTAAGGTTGGGTGGTTGCTTGTTTATTTATTTGGTAAAGTTGTCCTCCTAATATATGTGACTCTGGACACCAAAAAGAGTGAAACAAATAATGAAAGAAGAAAAGAAAAAGCAGTAAAACCATAAAACATACATTTCCAGGAGAGCAGCCATTCCCTGATAATATAATGTAGTACTTCTACCCCAGGCCTGAAGGCAGCATCCTGTTTTCAGGCCCTTTCTGAAGACCAGCAGGGTCGGGAGCCGTCTGACCTTGGGCGAATGATGTGCCAAAGAGCGGGTGCCATAGCAGGAAGGCCTCTCCTCCTGGCACCCATCAGTTATAGGCGACCCACAACGTGCTCTTCCTGATGGGCAGGTCGGTGTGGTTGGGAAGAGGCGGTCCCTCAACCGGGCCTCACGCCACGTTGGGCTTTAGAAGCCATTGCCAGCACTTTGAATTGAAGCTGGAAGCCAGCT